ACACACACAGACACACACACACACACATACACACACACACACACATACACACATTCACACACACACACACACACACCTACACCTACACCTACACCTACACACACACACATACACACACACACACACACACGCGCGCGCACGCACGCACGCACGCACACACGCAAGCACGCACGCTCTCTTGCGTCCCTGTCGACGCTGCCTCTCTGCTGGCGCCGCCATGGGAAGGGAGAGTAGGGCCGCCAGAGCCGAACCATCATCGGACATGGACTCGGGGCCCGTGTCGCTGGTACTGCACTCACGGCTCGCCGCTCCTTACGGGCAGCGCTGCCGCCACCCTGAGGCTGAGTGGCCCCAGCGGGCCCGCGCTCTCGGGGCGCTGGCCCGCCCGCGGGCCGTGCCCACGGTCCAGCTCGGGCTTGGGCTCGGGCAATCTACCCGAGCCATACTGCCAGGGTGAGGGCATCGGACAAGGAGCCATTGGGTAACAGGGAAACAAACCATGGCATGAACAGAAACTTTCGGAGATCCGCTCGGATTTGGTTTCACGGATCGGCGCTGGGGCCCCCTGGCGGCGCCTCCAGCGCCGCCCCTGGCGCGCTCCGAGCGCCAGGGAGGATGCTACAGCGCCGATCAGAAAAATCCGCGCGGACCTCCGAATGATTATGCTTACGTCGTTGTTTGCAAACCGGGATGAGGAACCCAGGGTCTGGAAGCTGGTGGAAGTCCACTCGTGGATTGGCCATGGAAACCGCCGCCTCTCCCATTCGATAAGCGACCCTCCAGTGCGTGAGGCCTCCCGGGCACATTACCTGACCGGACGCCCCCACCGTACGGCAGGGCGTGTGCAGCTGAAGCCCCTGGCCCTCTCTGGAAGCCGCGACCGGAGGCAGCAGCCTGGCTGCGCCTCGCCCCAGAGGGCGCGGGCACACACCTCCTGGCGCGGCTCCCGAGGCGGCGCGAACGCCTCCCCGCGAAGTTCCAGAGAGTCGCAAGGGCCCTGCAGACAGACGCGCCTCGCCTCGGACGCCGCAGGCGCGCAGGCCAGCAGGATGCCAACCGTACACCGACGCCGTTGGCTCGCGTCGCGGTGTCGCGGGCGTTGGCTTCTGACGCCGCGTGGATCGTGCCGCCTTGGACGACCGCGGCTCCGGTAGCGCAGATCGCTCGATATCGGCCGATTCTGGGCCACTGGCGGCGCTTCACCTGGAAACTCCGCGCTGAGGTCGCCGCCGCGTCAAACGCCAGACACCGACGTTGCCAGGGTCGGTGTGGGAGAATGGATGGCGTCCCCCGACACACCCCGAGGTCCTGGATGGGCCCAGCATAATCCTGAGAACGTCTGGTGAACCCTGGGGCCCTACCAGGAGCCCTTGGGCCCCCGTTGTCCAGTACATCGACAACATATTCGAGCCCTCACACACACACACTTGAGCGGAATGCTCATCACCCCCTCGCCCGCGAAATCAATATTGTTTTTAGCATGGGTGATGTCTGGGGGTTCGAATACTTCTTTCCACCCATCCCCGCTCCATGGCCGCACCATCAATATTGATGTTGGGGTCCGGGGGGGTATCTTGTGCATTTCGGGTTCGAACGTATTGTCCAGGTACGGTCCCTCCCGGGGTCGTCCCGAGACCGTCCGAAGCTCTCAGCGTGTCCAGAATACACTCCAGGACAGTGCATGTCGAAACCGCGACTTTTGGGAGGGCTTCGAATCCCTCGGGCTCCTGCACCGTCGCTCGATGGTGAGGGCACTTGCGCACGCGGGCGACAAGAGCCGTGCCGGAGGGCGGCTCGAGCTGGCTGGGAAAGCGTCTCACAGTTTCGCGACTGCTGCACGCAAGGGAGGGGAGGGGCGGGAGAGAGAGAGCGAGAGGGGGGGGAGAGGAGGACAAAGGGGAGGAGCGCAGGGACAGGCGAGACGGGGAGACTGGGAGGGGGGGGGTGGAAGCGTCGAAGCGCGGGAAGGTCCGCCTGTACCTCCGCCCCCGGCGGCGGGCGCCGCGGCGGCAGCGCCAAGGGTGCAGCCTCGCGCACGGCGAGGCAGGGCGCGAGAACGCAAGAACGAGAGGGTTGAGCCAGGGACCAAAACAACATGTGAGCACACTGCAGTCGGACTCGATTGGGGAGGACACGTGAGAGGACGCAAGACCCTTCCGAGGGCCACATTGCCACAGGAATGTAGGAGGCATGGGTCGCGAGACACAGGACACAAGGGTAACCTTGATTTGGCGGGGTCGACCTACTAATCTGGGCCGACTGCACAATGGTCAAGGAACTCACCGATGAAGAACCCTGGACCAGCTGCCCAGAAGTTTCTGAAGACAACCCTGGGCCAAACTGCAATGTTAACGCTGGAGGGCGAACGTGCTTGAGAAACTGCGCCAGCTGTCCAGCGCAGGTGGACTAAGAAACGCTGGCCCAGCTTCTCGGCAATAGATTCTTGATTATATGCTCGACCGTGCGAGGTCAGCCGTATGAGGGGGTGTAGGGGAGGAGGGTTCAAGGTTGATTTCTGCAGCAAGCATGGCACATCACCTGGGCAAGTGCACGCACCGCGTCGTCGCCGGTGGGGAGATGGGAGGAGAACACGGTGGACTTCAGAAGTCCGCCAGAAAGCAAGTACGTGCATGCGCACGTGGGCTTGTGTTGCGAAAAGCGTGAGGAAGGGAGTCGAGAGGAGCACGGGGCAAAGTCCTAATAGTCATTCGATGTATGTTCTCCTGGCCTGCCACTGGGTCAACACGATTCCAAAGTCGCCGATGCCCTGTGGTACCGCATGGGAAGATGTATGCAAAGCCCCCGCCCCCCCATGGAAAGATCGCTTTTCGCGATTGCGCGTAGACTCCACAGCTCACCGGGGCCTCAGGTTGCCCGTGCCTCCTCTCCTTCCTGTGTGGGAGTTCCGACGTGCCGAAAGCCGCCCTGCGAGTTCCACGAACCACCCTTGGAGTAGGGGAACGAAGAATGACAGAAACATAAAAACTCTGAGGTCCGCGCGGATTTCTCGGATCGGCGCTGGACCCTCCTCCTTGGCGCGCGGAGCGCGCCAGGGGCGGCGCCGGAGGCGCCGCCAGGGGGGTCCAGCGCGGATCCAAGAAATCCGCGCGGACCTCCGAGTTATTATGTTTATGTCACTCTTCGTTCCCCTACGGAGTTCCAAGAGCCGATGCGCGAGTTCCAAAGCAAGCTGGGGGGAGTTCCAGGAGCGACTCCGAGGCTTCCCGAGGCCACCGTTCGCAGGT